AGCCAAGTGTAGCAGTTGAGACACAATCAGTTAGAAAATAGCAATTGATCACCCCAATAGCAGTTGAGAAATAGCAATTGAGTATTTGCTCATTTTCTCTGAGCCCAAATATACAAAATGAAAGAAAGCGTCGTTTTAAATTCGGCGAGTGCGAATGGCAGATGACATGTCGGTTGGGATTAGAGGGGGAACGATAAGAAGTCTTCCGAAAAAGAGACAGACGGGGCGCCAGGGCGCCCCCTAATCCCCTCTAGGATTGCCTCTGTGTGCCCCACCTCATCAAAAGAAGAAAAAGAGCGTCGGGACTACGGTAGGTGGCACTTACCACAACTGAAAAGGAGGACGGCTCGCAGTGATTGAATTTCGACCGGATCCAGATGGTAGTCGCGGATTTTGTCGAGGGTTGTCTGGAAATACTTATACCTCTAATCATGTGGCACTCCTGTTTGTGGGAAAAAACTTCAGCATACACTAGAGATTCAGTTTCTTTCTTGTTCCCAAGTTTCCGGTCCCAAAAAGCAGTGAAACCAGCTCAAAATATGAATTGTCGTAAGATATGATGCCGAGTCCGCAAACACGGAAAAAATTACACCGTCACGTCAGAATGCAGATTTTTACGCTCACAAAAATCTAAGAAATAGCGCATTCTGACTACGAAAACTGAATTATCGTACGGTATAATGCCTAGTCTGCAAACACCAAAAACTAACACCGCTGCGTCGAATCACGGGGGTGTCACATCTAAACATCTTTAAAAAGCTGAAAAACGTCACATTCTAACTAGAAAACAGAATTGTCGTGAAGTATGATGCCGAGTCTGCAAACACCGGAAAATAATACCGACACGTCAGATTGCAGACTTTCTGAGTTCACAGGGTTACGGTAGACGCCGTCTAGTACAAGGAAAATCGAAAACAGTGTCAAAAAAACAAAAAATTTAATTTTGTCGTAATATGTGATGCCTAGTCTGCAAACACCGGCAAGTCAGATTGCAGACTTTTGGAGCTCACAGGATTAAGGTGGACACCGTCGGGACCCAAGAAATCGAAATGCATTGTTTGAAAAAAGCTAAAATTCTGATTTTGTCGTACGATCTGATGCCGAATCCGCAAACACTGTCACGTCAAATTTACTGTAGCTAGATCCAAGGGTTACGGTACCTAGACCCTTGGGTTACTGTACTTGGATCCTGAGGTTATTGTAGCTAGATCCTAGGATTACTGTAGCTAGATCCAAGGATTACTGTATCTAGATCTTAGGGCTACTGTACCAAGATCCTATGGTTCCTGTAGCCTGATCTAGGATTACTGTAGCTCGATCTGGGATTTTTTGGATTACTGTATTTCTAAATAAGACCCACCTGAAATCCTTGAAACGGCGGCTCATCCAATACACTCTCCACTACACTCTCCGTCTTCACTTCAATCATTTTCTCATCTTCGGATCTGGATCCAGAGGAGCAGGAAGAGGATTCTGATGAAGATGACGACGTCGACGTCTTCAGATGACTTGCCAAGTTGTGTGAGAAATTTGAATGTGCCAGGGCGAAGACGAAGATTGGCGTCCAGCTGTGACGGAGGAGCACCAATTGATCGGATTTCGACAGATTGCTCATTGAGGTACGCGCCCAGTGGACGGTGGTGAAAATCGTTTGGGCGGCGAATTCGAAGATGGATTCTGAAGAAATTTGGGGATTTCTGAATTCAAATTGCCGCCAAATTTCGGTTCAATGGAGCGCATTTTCAAAATTCAGAGATTTTAGGTTTCGTCGCTTTCAAATTCCCTCCCGATTTCGATTCAGTAGAGCGAAATTTCACAATTTGGATAAATTAAAAATTTTCGGAATTCAAATTCCCGCCAGATTTCGGTTCAGTGGAGCGCGTTTTCAAAACTTAGGAATTTCGGAACTTTCTGAATTCTAATTCTAAAATATGATTCTGTACGGTGCAGTAGAGCGCATTTTCTCAACTTCAATTAAAAAAGATTTCGAATTTAAAATCCCGCCAAACTTCGGTTCAGTGGAGCGCATTTTCATAATTTTCGAAATTCAAATTGCCGCCTGGGGGTAATTCAAGAATAGCCCCCCACCTCAATATCACCCCCCGCGTTATAACAAACCTAAGTATAGCCCCCCACCAGCACTAAAAGTGGTGGGGGGCTCTACTTGAGATCGGGGGGTTCTAGTTGAATGGCTTAGTTCAGTTAAAGCCCCCCACCAGTGCAAAGTGGGGGGCTATACTTTAAGATCCAGGTATTCCTAAAGTATAGCCCCCACCCCCCTATAGTCAATTCAAGTATCGGTCCCCACTCGATTCAGTTTGAGCCCCCCAAAGGCACAACCTAAGAAAGACCCCCCAATCCATTCAAGATGAACCCCCCATCTATTCAATATCAGCCCCCCATCGATTCAATATCAGCTCCCCACCGTCTTGTTGGGGGGAGGGTGTAGTCAATTGGCTCCCGGGATTTTACTAAGCCTGTTTCTTAAAGGGTGTATCCCCCATGCTTCCAGCGTGCTGAGCTTAGGGGGAAGGTGTAGTCAGTTGGCTCCCGGGATTTTACTAAGCCTATTTCTTAAAGGGTGTATCCTACGTGCTTCCAGCGTGCTGAGCTAGGGGGAACGTGTAGTCAGTTGGCTCCCGGGATTTTACAGGAGTGGGGGGTTGAACTTGAATGGGTGGGGGGGTTCATTTTGAACTGCTCAGGAAATCGTAATCTACTGAGTGGGGGGTTATACTTAGGTTAATTTTGGGGGGCTATAGTTGAATAGGGAGGGGTGCTATATTTGAATACTCCCGCCGCCTGTTCAAAAAAGTCCAATAGAGCGCATTTACCTTTAACCGACGGTTTCGAGGCGGCGAACTGAGCGGCCGCGGCCATCAACGGATTGAATGGCATCGGAAGGAATGGGAACGGTGGCCGCAAAAACGGATTCGGCGGGAAGAAATTGGGCATTTGAATGGGCAGACGACCTCGTTGAACTGCTGAAACTGCGGTCTGAGTCTCATTGGATCTTCTTCCTGCATCACATAGAACCACTGTTGTTTTTTATATTCGTTATATTGTCAATTGGAAAATGGAGAAGGGGGAGGGGAAGGGTGCCACTTTATTAGAGATTTTTGAAAAAAAGCTACAGTAAGATATTATTCGTGCCCGGCGAGACCGATTGATATCTGTTTTTCAAAAAAACAAGGTTTCATGACGCACACGGCAACGAGAAACGAGAGATTTCTTTAATTTTTCTTTCGAATTTTGTCCACGCAGACTACACGAGCAGAGTTTTCTAGGCCGTCAGTTTGCGCGGCAGTTCGAATAAAAAATTAGCTTTTTTTGCCGATTTCCCGGCTAAAATAGATTTTTTGGATTCTAAATGACGAAAAAATTCAAAAAGTTACTGAAAAACCGAACAATTTTTTTCGATAAATACTTTTTTTTTGAGCAAAAATTTTTTTCTAACCCTGTTTTTCTATCAAAATCAGGCAAAAAAAACCGTTTTCAACCAAAAAAAAAAGTTCTAACACCTCAAACTCCGCAAAAAGTGAATTGTCGTAAAATACAATGCCGGGTCCGCAAACACTAAATCTGACACCGTCACGTCAGATTGCAGGTTGTTTACAGGATTACGGTAAGCATTATAGCAACCAAAAGTATTTAGACAGCTCAAAACTTAATTGTCGTGAAGCATGATGCCGAGTCTGCAAACACTGTCACGTCAGATTGCGGACTTATTGCTTTCAGGGATACTGTATTTCTTAAAATCAGGACTTCAATGTCGTAAAATATGACGCCGAGTCCGCAAACACCCCCTCCCCCATCTCCATTCAAAAAACCACACCATTCAAATCTCTCACCTTCTTTCCGCATTCCCATTCGAATGCATTTCGTCAATCGGCAATACTGACACTGGTTACGGTGTTGCACGTCAATCGCGCAATTTTTCGTGGCCCGACACGTGTACGACAGTGACCGACGAATCGATCTGTGAGAAGAAATAAAAAATCGATAATTTGAAAATATTTCGATTTATTTCCATCGTCGATACCCCGTGTTGAAAGGCTAAGGAATGTCTTGTGAGTTTTCGCGCGCGGGGTGACTTTCTATTTCGGCAATTTCAGCTAAACTTCTCCTGCTCTTTCTTGTCTTGTGTGCCACTCAATTGCAGACTTTTGTTCATGGGTATTTTCAACTCAGAAGAAAAATTCTAATACAAAGGCACACACTTTCAGACAAAAATCATCACATCTAACCGGTCTGGAGTCGAAGAGCCAAGGAAAACCGTACAATGGTGTGAGCGGCGGTTCAGCGAGACATATGGACGAGGTGCACGAGTACGAAAAGGAAAAAGGAGTGTGAGTTTGAATTTAGAAAGTGTCGTAGAATCTGGTGGTAGGTCCGCAGACACCGCTACGCTAAATTGCAGATTTTCGAATACGGTTCAAAAAATGCCGTAAAATCTAGTGTTTTGTCTGCAAACACAACGACGCGAAGTTACAGATTTTGGGATTTTGAATTTCAAAAAAATGGTGTGAAATCTGGTGTTAGGTACGCAAACACCGTCACGTCAGAATACAGATTTTGTTTCTAAAGTTCGAAAAACGGCGTCTTCCACGGTGCAAACACCAACACGCCAAATCACAGATTTTTGGTTTCAAATTCAAAAAGTGTCGTCGAATCTGATGTTAGGTCCGCAATTTTTTTAAAAAACTGTCGTGAAATACAATGCCATGTCTGCCAACACCGTCACGCCAAATTGCAGAACTTAATGATTTTTTGTTTCAGGTTAATTCGTAACAAAAGAGCGGTGCCTGCTCCAACACCCGCCCCTGTCGGAAGCACCGTAAAGCCGGTCACCCAAATGAGTGTAGCGGATAAAAATAAGATCCAAAAAAGAGTGTAAGTTTGGGGGCCGGTCTTATAATAGAAGGGCACCAGAAGCACGTCGACACAAGGCGCTTCTTCCCCTGTCATTGTCTACGCCCTCTACCTGCCGGCTGCCTGATGCCCCTGCGGCCTAGCGGTTACCGCTGCCGTTTTGTAAACTGTCATCGCGGGTTCAATCCCTTCGGGGTCAATTCTTTTTTTTCTTTTTTTCTAGAACCAGTTTTCCAATAGAAGGGCACCCGGCTGCTAGCCGACACAAGGCGCCCCTTTCCCTGCTATTGTCTACGCCCTCTACCTGCCAAGCGCCTTTTGCCCCCGTGGCCTAGCGGTTAGCGCTCCCGTTTTGCAAGCTGTCAACGCGGGTTCGATCCCTCATGGGGTCAATTCTTTTTTTCTTTTTTCCTAAGCCGCGTGCACCCTTCTAAAACAATTCCCCCACTTTCAGAAACGGATTCGTGATGGTATTCGGCGGTCTAACCAGCGCCCTCTGCATCCTCTGCTTCGTCAACATTGGCCTCTTCGTTTGGCTCTCAATTGTGCTCAAGAAGCTCAAAAAACCGTGAACACTTTCTCTCTGTCTGATTACCTTTTGAAAAAACTCTTGCATCCCTCACAACTGAACTGTCCATAGTGTTTACCGCTTGACTTGTCACCACACACAACACAATCCGTCGCATCGGGGGAGGTATCCGGAAGGCCGGTGGAGGCGGAGTCGATCTGGAAGGATGGGCGTTACTGTAGATGTGAATTGGGTTACGGTAGATGGTAATATTGAAAAATCGAAAATGGGGTCGTCCTCAAAAGGCCGATAGCTAGTGGATCCATAGGAATTTCAGAAAAAAAATTGTCTTGTTTTCAAAAAACTGTGCGCTTTGATTCCAAGACCAGACCAGACCACATAAGGCCGGACCTAACCAGGCTCAGACCGGGCCAGACCGGACCGGACCGGATCGGACCAGACCAAACCGGACCGGACCAGACCAGGCCGGGCCAGACCAGGCCGGACCAGACCAGACCACACCAGACCGGACCAGACCAGACCGGACCAGACCAAACCAGACCGGACCAGACCAGGCCGGACCAGACCAGACCAAACCAGACCGGACCAGACTAGACCAGGCCGGACCGGATCGGACCGTATGGGGTCCATCGACTAGTTTTTTCTCGAATTCCCCTCACTGTAGATTAATGTATATTGCGGTTTGGGGTACGGCAGATGATAGTTTGGATAATCGAAAATCCCAAAAAAAAAGGTCTGGGTCTTTACAGAGCCACATGGTGCATCATCGCTCAGAATTTCAGATTTTTCGGAATTTTTCGATTTGTCGAAAAATGAAGCCCATTTCATTTTGAGACCCCCCCCTTGCATGGAGTGCCCTCCTGAGTTGTCCTCTCGGACTACTGTAGGAGCTCTTTTCAAAATCCGAGTAGCGTCATCACAAATCATTTCTCCAACCACATATAATTACAAAATGTCGCGGCGGCACCCTTCCCAAAAATGACAGGTTGCCTTCTTTTTGACAGACAGGTTCTTGGGCCCCCTGCTGTGAGGGGACAATCCCTTCATCGCCCCGCCGCTCCTTGAGAAAGGAGGGGAGCCCCTGTGTTGGCTGGCACTCATCATTTTATGATCATTATCTCGTCGTCATCATCGAATTATTATTCGAAACGGGGGAGAGGAGGGTGTAGTCCTCGTGTCCCTTCGCCACCACCGGGATGGGGGAAAAACGACGAGGTTCGTCGGAATGATTTATAGTTTTTTTGCGGCGACGGCGGCCGGTGACGAAGTGCGACGAGAGTAATAAAGTTTTTTTTGTTAGTTTGAGCAGGAGAGCACAGTGGGAATTCGGGAATTAGAATATATGCGGCGGGGAGGAAATGGGATCGGCAGAGGATTACGTGGTGGCAAAGTTCAAAGGGAAAAGGGGCCAAATTGGGGCTTCCAAACTCCCAAATCGGATTATTTTTAGAGTCATTGGAGAGCATACTTGGAGCCCTGGAATTCAAAAAAACGGTGGGAAAGGTCACAACTTCAAAACAAAAAACTGGGTTACGGTACTTTTCAAAATTTTGGGTTCCGGTACTAATCAAGTTTCGGATTACCGTAATTTTATCCAGGTTCAGGACTTCCCGAAGGTGAAAAACAGTGTGAAAACAGGTCATTCTCGACTAGAAACTAAACTGTCGTAAGATCTGATGCCGAGTCCGCAAACACCGTCACGGTAGATTGCAGAAATTCTATCTACTGTAACCTTAATTATGTTATCCCTGGAGTACGGTTCCCGGTACTCAAGGAGTACGGTACTAAAAACCTCCTGATCAAAATTGTCGTCAAATAAAACAACTGACACTACCGTAATCCCAAAAACATTCAGATTACTGTAGGATTGGGCCATGAGACTTTCTAGAAAATTCTCTAGAAAATGCAACGAACAACAGTAAAATCAGGTATAGAACGACCAAGATTTATAGAGTTTTCAGACAAGTTTGAGTCTAAAATCCCAAAATGTTCAGAATTTTCTTTTGAATTGATAAGAATCAACACAATATTTTGACCCCTTCAAATTTCCGCTTTCCCGGAATTTCCGAAAATTCTGATTCCCCTAACTATTTCAGACCCCGATTTTGCCTCCAAAATTAGAACCACAAGACTACGGTAGCTCCCAAAGACCCCTTCCATTTCTAGAAGTTTCCCATAATTTCCAGTGAGCTATAATTTCTGAAACTTTCTGGAAAATTCCAGAAATCTCCTTCACCACCACCTCCTCTCAAAATAGCCCAGTCAGTCTAAAAATAAAGTCATATGACTAATTGTAGTAAATACCCATTCAGCCTACGCACCCCATAATTATTGAAACGGAGGCAATCGAAGTTTCCAGAGGGTTGAAATGTTTGCAGAACTTAAGATTGACATTTTCGGAATTTTTAACCTTGATTACGTAGGATTAAGGTTGGCCTAAATTTCGCAATAGCTGATGGAAAAGGAGAAGTCCAAATTCAAGGTAAAGGTGAAAGGATAACGAGTTCAGTTGGGGGTGAGTTGAGTTTGTGCTCCATGATCATTGGGCTCAACTGAGAAAATTTTCGAAAACTGGGCTAATTCTAAAGGGGAATCTCAGTTTTGTGATTTCCAGAAATTTTATATGTTGTGCTCCAGGAGCATAAAAAGCTTGGCACAATGTAGACTCGGAAAAATCTGACTTCAGCATGGTGTCCGGGAGAGCCAAAAAATTAGATTTTGAACATCTTAATATTGAACCTAAAACAGTGTAAAATTGGGTCCAGAATAGTCTAAAATGCATCCAGAGAAGCCCAGGCTTAGGACGAAAATCCCTAGGATTGGTAAGAAAAATCCTTTAGTTGAGCTCGGAAAAGCGTGAAATTGATTTGTCCAGTCGGGTCCTAAATAGGTCAAAAAAGCCTCAAAAGCCTGTGAAGTTGAGTCCAAGACAGTCTAATTTTGAGTCTAACAGACTCTATAAATGGGTCCAAAATAGTCCAAAAATTATCCAAAAGTGCTCAGACTTAGGCCGAAAACCATAAGGATTGGTACAAAAAGGCCTGAAATTGAGCTCGGGAAAGCGTGAAATCGCGTATAGCTCGGGGCCAAAATTGGTATTATTGAGACCTAAATAGGTCCAACTAATCACAATTTGAAAATGGTACGTTTGGCCTAAAAAAAGTTGAACCCAAAAAGCCCTAAAACTTGGTCTAAAAGGGCTCCAGAATAGCTCTAAACTGATCCAAAACAGTCCAATTTTCATTCCACGGTGTACCAAACACTCCGCCTCCTTACTCCAAATCCTGCACCGGATCGACCTCCCAGAAGCACTATTTACCTAGATTCAGGCACTCCGAGTCTCACCTGGCCCCCACCTACCCCCAAAAACCCACCTCCTTCTTCATACTAGCCGCCAGAATCTGTTGCCATCCGCTAGCATCGATCGGCGTTCGAAACTGAAAATTGACGGAAGCGGCGGCGGCGGCAGCCGCCAGCCACGGTAAATTCGGAATCGGGAGCATCAAGAAATCAAGATCCGGAAGGGGAAACGGATGTTGCGAATCTTCTGATGCTCCTCGAGAAAGACGAATTGTGCCCGTGAGAGGTCTCTCAAAGGGGTTGGGCCCAGATGGGTTCGCCAGATACAGACGGGGTGGGGTGCCCTCCAATTGGAGAAGGGGCGGAGACTACGGTAGTCGGGACGAGAGAGAGGGAGCAGATGCTCTTCTTTTCTCGGCTCGTAAAAATGTGTGAGAAGCCGACATCACCCGGCTCCTGGGGTGGTTGGGGTCTGCTGTCAGGGGGGATCCCTTGTTTCGAGATGGTTACTCGGAGATAACCAATGCGCATTTATCATATTGGGGTGGAGACGTTAAATGGATCACAACACAGGGAGTCCTCCTTCCTCTTTTAACTACTCGATTAGCACCCATTTAGTAGGTTCTTGAGTGTATATGGGGCTTTTTGAAGTTTTTGAAGGGGAGAAAAGTCTCCGAGGAGCTGTTTGGAATGGAAATAAAATTGTATGAGTATATATGAGGGAGTTCGAGGAGTTTATGGGTTTTCAGCGGGTTCGGGTTCGGACGACGATTGACACGACTGGGAGTTCGAGGGAGGAGGAGCTTCTACTGAAGAAATTGAAATCAGGGGAACTCGGGAACCTCAAGACCTTTGAGAATGGTCCGTTCATTTTAAAGAAGGTCGAAATTTGATTGAAAAAAAATGCTTTTATTTGTCTCGAAACTGGCCGGACAGGGGATCGCTTTTTCTTGAAAAAAAAAAATGGAAAAAACCCTAGAATTTTCGGCCCAAAACTATCCTCTTGGCCCCAAAATATTCCAAAAAAAATTTTCCTGAAATCGATTTCCCACTTTTTGTTACAGTTTTTCGTGCATTTTGTATTGCGAATTGTCCAATCTTATTGTCCAATCTGCAGTAATCTACACAAATCACGGTACTTTCAGTTTTGATGTTTGCAGACTCTGAATCATATCTTGCGACAATTCAAAGCCCTGTAATGGCAACCAGTGTAAAAGAAACTGCTGGCCGAAGATCCGACAACTTGACGGCCCCGATGTCTCAACACGAAAACTACCGTAAAAATTTATTGCTACCGTAATGTTTATCGAATTTCATCAATTTCATCGATTTTCAGCAATTTTTAAAGGTTTTTCTCAGAAAAAATTAGACAATATTCGTTGAAAATCGATAGACTCGTAAATAAATAAACATTTTCAAAATTTCTTACGGTAGCAATTAAATTTATACGGTAGTTTTCGTGGTGAGATATCGGGGCCGTCAAGTTTTCGGATCTTCGGCCACCACTTGCTTTTACACTGATTGCAGATATTTTTAGACATCTGGCTGTATTTATCTTTCACA